CATCTGCACAACCGCCATTTTTTTTCTGATCGATAGAAAAAAATTTATATAAATACTTTTATGTACGAGGTGTGTTCAAAAAGTAAGGTGACTTTGTATTTTTAAGAAAAAATATTTATTTATTTATCAATATTTATGTTGTTCCCTTAAAAGTAATCCCCCTCAGATACAATACACTTATGTCAACGGTTTTTCCAATCCTCAAAGCACTTCTCATAAGCACTTTTCGGTATAGCCTTGAGCTCTTCCAGAGATGCAGTCTTTATCTCTTCAATCGTTGCAAATCTCCGTCCTTTCATAGGTCTCTTTAGTTTTGGGAACAAGAAAAAGTCACATGGGGCCACATTCGGTGAATATGGTGGCTGAGGCATGATTGTGGTATTGTTTTTGGCCAAAAAATCTCTCACAAGCAAAGATGAGTGAGCAGGGGCATTATCGTGATGCAGAAGCCATGAATTGTTTTTCCACAATTCTGGGCGTTTTCTTCGTATTGCTTCTCGCAAACGGCGCATAACTTCAAGATAATACTGTTTATTGACCGTACGTCCATATGGTAAGAACTCCTGATGCACCACGCCATGGTAATCGAAGAAAACAGTGAGCAAAACTTTGACATTTGATCGAACTTGGCGTGCTTTTTTCGGTCCTGGCTCATCTGGGCTCTTCCATTGGGACGATTGGACTTTGATTTCGATATCATAACCATATATCCATGATATGACCCTTTTGAGTAAATCTGGGTCGTCGTTGACGTCATTCAACAATTCTTGAGCGATGCTCATGCGACGGTTCTTTTGGTCAAAATTTAGCAATTTCGGAACAAACTTCGCTGACACACGTATCATGCCCAAAACGTTAGAAAAAATTTCATGGCATGAGCCAAGCGATATACCAACATCCTCAGCAACTTCTCTGATAGTGATTCGACGATTTTCCAGAACAATTTTCTTCACTGCTTGAACGTTTTCATCAATTGTTGACGTGCTTGGGCGTCTAGAGCGAGGCTCGTCATTGGCATCTTCCCGGCCATCTTGGAAGCGTTTGTACCACTTGTAAACATTTTTTTTACTCAGAACAGTTTAACCGTATGCCACCGTCATCATTTCAAGTGTTTCGGAGCACTTTATTTTATTTTTTACACAAAATTTGATGCAAATCCTTTGATCCATATTTTTCGATAGCAAGAAATCGCCGAGCACGCAAAACACTTATAACCTTTACGCCTCTCACAACCAAACAAAAAATACTATACACTTCAAACTTGGTACAGATGTTCGAGAAGAGTGTGTCAACAAAAAAAAATAAAAAAATCGATATTCGAAAGTACGTTGCCCGTGAAATTTGAAAAGTCACCTTACTTTTTGAACACACCTCGTATAAACAATAAAGGCCCCTAAGCATAATTTTCATTTCCTTCGTTGTCTTTCGTGAAAAAAATCTTGAAATGACGCTATTTTTCGACGCCCTAGAGTGGTCTTCCCCCTTAAAGATACAATGGAAGACCAAAATTGTCAATAGGAATTGAATTATACTGAATATTAACACAATTTCAGTTCAGGAACCAATTCAGCAGGAAGGCTTTGACGCTCTGCAAAATTGAACATAAAATTATATTTTAAATTGAGGGAATGAAAAGAAACAGAAAGGCAGCGGCACAGCGGGGCGTATAAGAGGTAGATAGGGAGAGGAAGGCAGCTGCATGACCAGTCGGATGGAAAAACGGCAGAGGTAAGAGGGCGAGAGAGAGAGAGAGAGCGAGAGAGAAAAAGAGAGCAAGAGAGGGGGGCAGGTGCAATGGAAAATTTACCTGATGATCTTGTCGGCATCCTTGTGTCCCAAACGAAGCCATTTTTGCCTTTTAGCTTGGTTGTCGGACGCCCACGCTCGCGTTGCTCCGAAAGCCGTTCAGCTAGAGGAACGTTTTCAACGTCGGAATCTGAGTCGGAGCTGTCATTTTCAGAGAAATCTTCATCTGCAGAATCATCTGAATTGCTTGGAGAAGTCCCAGTTCCACTAGTTGCATTGCTACAAGTGGTAGAAATTCGTATGCTCGATGCCATCTTCCTCTAGCAGTTCTTCCCGTATGCGACGCGTTCGCAAATTATATGCCATCTAAATAATTCAAATAAAATATTATATATCCGCAAAAAAAAAATTAAAAACGATTAGAATACCGTTTACTAGCCTTATTTTATACTTTACTGCTAATTTAGAACGAAAAAAACAACCACTCCGAATCACCGAAAAATGACGTTGCTTACACACTGGGGTACACGCGATCCCACTCCACTTTGCTCTACGACCACAGCTAGACTGACACTTTCAAAGTAGCGGCACTAGGCCGAATGGAAGGGGGGGTGTCTTAATGACCTACAGATGTCGCCATAAGTATCGATTTATCGGTTTAAACTATTCAAAATTGAGATAGAAATGGCTGGGGTACCGCTGTATCCCTGTGTGGCAGCCAAGGGTTAATTATATCAAAAATTATTAGATTAAGTATCAAAATATTAATTATTATTAATATTTTGCTTAATAAATGGACCATAAACGCTACGAGGGTTCGGGGAGGTTGACTTCTACTTGACCCGATTCCTCACTAGACACGGATACTTCAGACACTACTTATTTAGACGCAACAGAGTACGACCGCCGAATTGCAAATATTGCAGTCGTGGCAAAAACGACGTACAATACACTTTTTAAGAGTGCCCACGATGGATCACGGACAGACTACAACTGGAAATGTGACGAAAATATTAACGACGAGGATAGCTGGATAGCGGTCACTACCTTTGACGAGATTGTCCTGAGAGGGAAGAAGGTAGTCGAATGTTTGTAATTTGGATGATGTATGAGAAATACCGCGGGTGAATGACGTATAAAAGGCTAAACAGATGAAATGGATGGAAGGAGTAACGAAACTAACAGACGTTTGGACAGAATCCGCAACGGCGAAGTAATGCGATCCCACGGTGCCGGTTGGACAGACGATAGAAATTTCCATCCGGGGAGTATGCTTCTGAATACCCTCAGGGGCATGCTCGACGGATGGCGGATTAGACGGTCCCCGTGGACCACCCAAGCCCCTGCCGCAGATGGGCTGGAGCAATCCAGTTTATCCGCTGCTGAGGCTGACGGGTTTTCGAAACTCGTCACACCGACGGAGGATTCAACATTTGCCTTGGTAGATAAGAGAGTCACCACTGATGGTCTGGTCTAGGCAGATTCCTTGTTTTTTTACCACCAGAAAAACCAAACTAATTAGTGTAGCAAAAAGCGATTGAATTAAATAATTATTTTTGGCTCTGGCCGTACTGTTCGCTACATAGGTATGATGAGTGTAACCTTTTCACATATAATCTCAATACTTTTCATTAACTTTTTGACTATTATATAGCTTTTGATTATAATTGTTATTTACATAGTTATTTATTTAAGGATAAAAGATGTAGAGGCTATACGTGAATAAGTTGCATTTGACTTCTCTATGTAATGAACAGCACGGTCGTAGACCGAAATAGTTTAATACAATCACTTTTAACAATATCCATAATTAGCTTAACTAATTAATAAGTAAATAAAATAGTTAAGATAATTAATAAATAAAAAAAGGTGAGCTATCTTTGTCGTGTCATTTGAGGGCTTTAAGATGGAGGCGCGTGCACACTTTTTGGAATTAGATGAGTAGGCGATGCTGAAATTTTTCTGTAACCTGTTGAGACTAACAAAATTGTCTCTATAAATTCTCTCCTGACTGCATTGTTGGACCTGAACAATTTCTATTAGTCTTTATCTGATATCTAGTCTCTGTGATACTCTAAACCTGTGACTTAAAATTAAATGAGAGAAATCTATATGCATACACAAATTTATATATTTTTATAATTTTATATTTTAATAGATACCTTGACTGAACAAGAAAAAAGATAAATGTATAGATGTAATGTGTAATTACTATTGTTTTTTGCATATAACGAATTAATATTTTTCAATCAATCAATCATTCTCTCTCTCTCGATTAATCTTCGAGAAGTGGAAGGCCGAATAATTAGCTCATTGACCGGTGCTACTTGTTATTGTGCCAATAAACGATCTACTTTTACTTTTGCTACTAGAGACCAGCAGCGAAGAGTATAGAAGATTTTTTACTACCGTACCAAGAAATGATTCTTGAATCTTGAATCAAAATCATTAAATTAAAATTTCTGGCCAAAAATAAATCGATTTATATGTTGCAAAAGTCTAGTTAGTTTTTCTATTGTGTCCAAGTAACTCGTTAAACTTATATTCAGAGTAGAATCAATAAAACGTTCAAACTAAAATATATTTAAAGAAGTTCTTGAAACTGTGAGTGGGACTTCAAGTGTAATAAGAGATCTTTGATGACAGACAAGTAGAATCTCGCGCAGGGCTTGATGAGCTACCGCAGGAATGGTCAGAGCCAATAACGGTAAAACTTCAGACGTCACAGTAATAATAATTTAACTTCCATCTGTGATGTTGACATTTTCTTCTTGTAATTTGATTGAAAAAGAAAGAAAGTGATTCAAATTAAATAGAGAAAAAAATAGTTTCAGTTCTCGTAGTGCTTATAAAAAAAAAGCACACATGCTGCCATGTAAATAACGCTAGTTCACTTAAAGAAATCATTTTTCGAACCACCCTTACAACCATTTAGATTTTATTTTTTTGTTCAATACAATTAATTTTTTAAATTTACTCCATAACATGATCGAAAATAGTCAAAATACTACTAAGATGAAAGTTTTAATGTAATATGGCTTGATAATTCAAGTTAAATTTCATTCATCTATGTTACTTTAAAAGATTCACTGTATATGGCTGATACTCTTCTACAGTGAACTCACAGGACAAAATTTCTTAATGTATGGATGTGCGCGTATACTCATGTACATACGTGTTCATTATTTTACTCGAACAATGTACATTCTATAATTATCGGGAATGAGAAATTGAAGTTCTACTTCTTGTTTTAGACAGTATTCAAAAACAAACGTCGTTAGATGAAAGTGTGCAAATGGATACTCCACCACGAAGCCCTCCAGAACCACCTGCAGATGAAGAAATCCTTAAGTTAGTGCAATCTCCATCTATTTCACTAAAAGATCGAGCGAAAATGACTCCAAAGCAAAAATGGCATGTTGCTTATAATAAAATTATAATACAACTTAATGTAAGTATATTTTTCTAAATAAATTATTTTTTTTAATATCTGTTTTTCACTTTTAATATGAGAATAATTTTATACTTATTAGAAAATGTATGAGTCGATTTTTCGACTAATATAGAGCTATAATTATTTCAAATTTTAGATTAAAAATACTGTGTTGCAGTAAATCAAATTAGATAGAATTTGATAAAAATAAAAATATGATATTTCTTCTTTCTCTAATATTCATTTCAGTCTCATGTCACAGCTACGTCCAGGATTCAGATACGTCTAAAACAAACACAATCTCAGAATTCCTTGTTTAAGATAACTGCGATTTGTCGCTTACACTGCCTGGGATTATTTTTGAAATAAACAAGGAGTGATACTTTCCTATAATATTGCCATTCAGTTCCAGTTCATGGTTGAAATTTAGCATTTAGTTCAAAGAGGAATACCTCAGGTACAGCTTATAGCAGTACCTGATTATTCAGGACGATGAGACTAAATATCCAATCCATAGTAGTATCTATATACTTGAGCAATGGGGTTTGAGGCAGTTCACGAACGAAAAGGAAGGATACAATTTCGCTTCCTCCTCGCAAATTTTTCAAGAAAGGTAAAACATTCTTCAAGTAGGCTTCAGAAATTACTCTTCAATTAATTTTTAGAATATAATCAACAAGTAAATACATACAGTAGAAATTAATTTGAAATTTTAAACTTCATATAAGAGAATCTCATTCGATCCATAAAGTAAATCGGCCAACCCGTTTCTCATTAAGTTCGGAAGATGCATCGTAGCCTTAATCAAATTTAATTTATACTATATGCAATTACTTACCGTTGATTATATTCTAAAAATTGATTTGAAAACTATCTCTGAAGCAAACTCACATGATAGTTTTACCTTTCTTATAAGGTGTATGAAGGAGAAGGGAGATTTCATTCTCGATATAAGAGTTATGAACATTAATATCATGTATTATTTATCTGATTTTTGTGAATCAAAAAATAGCTGGTTAGTTTGAGTAAGTATGTAAGTTATAGATAGCGATGTTATCGATACCCACAGCTCATGATATGCGATTCATGTCAATGATGTTTTCTGCGTATTATACGTAGAGGGTATGCATTACACAACGTATATTACAAAATATGAGACAAAAATCTTGATATAAAAATAAAATATGTAAATATTTTGTTACTTAAATTAGTTTTTCGAAACCGTATTGTTTTTAACCAAGAGGAAGTAGACACTACGGGACGTTATAGGTCATTCACCTGATGCCCAACGCGCGTGAACCTGTGTAGTTTTTCGCAAAATAAATCTGATTGCAAAGGACGTGCCGGCGCCAGGGATATTTCTGAGCCTTACAACGCGCACGTATTCTATCGAACTTATCCTTTCCTGAGTGAAAGATGACATCTTTCCATCACATCTACACCTCGTTCGATTTTTTACAATCGGGGAGAACAAAAGATATAGTTGACAGATAATGATAAAAATCGAAAGACGAATTCTTGAGTAACGGCAGAATGTTATGTGTCCGCCAGAAAACTTTAGAAAAAAAGCAAACCTGCATGCGAACTGCGGTACACGTGCAAATTAACTGCTTTGTGTTTGCCGCCCCTTGTGAAATGAATAAAAGTGTAATAGCGCGTAGCGAATTATCATATGTAACCATGGGTATCAAAAGCGATTTTATATATGGCTAGTGGCTTTAGTGGTGGTTATTTATAATAGACATGCCCGGCCATGTGCAAAACTAATTCCTTTGCGAAAAACGAACCTATCGCAAAATCGACATTATCTTCCCCGAATCACGCAAATGAGCACTTACAAAAGTAAGATGGCTCATTATGCTCCGAGCAGGATACGCTACGGTTTTAGAGAAAAAGAGAAAGAGAAAAACGTATTCCTCCCTGCAGAAAATCGAGCACGACGATCTTGAGCGAGGGAATGGTGGTGCACGTCGCCCTATTGGCAAAAGCGCTGAAAAGAAATACGCTTTCAGGTCTTTATGCCTGAGGTGGATACAGAAACCGAAGGAGAGTAACAAATCCCTTGATATGATCGGCCGAGCACTCAGTTATTTACTTTCCGTGCTCTGGAATGAGTCATCTACCGTTTAGAGCCTCTCCGAACGAGACTAAGTGTAAACATTCTGCGAAAAATTGCCTACATGGCTTTTTGATTTCCTGTGTAAAAGCATTCTAACATTACCATGCAGTTTTTAGTATGTGATAAAGACAAGAAATATCTCTGGAAAACAGTCCGCGATTGAATATAATTGCTGAATGGTTGCCGAATGGTCACCGATGGCCACAGATAGGTCACCGGTGGCTGCTGGATAAATATACTGAGAAAGCGTACCTAAAAGTTGATTTTTCATCAATACATAATGTATAATGCGGTACGTTACAAGGTTTTGTCTGAGAGCGTTGTATTATTTGCAACACCTCAGGAAAGCCATCCCCGTCTCTTGCCGTTCCGTAACCAGCCAGATAATTATGACCTATGCGCGCCCTAATTCGGACACTAATTTTTTTTCATATCCGCCTATCCATACCCGAGAAAACGACGTTATAAGTTGAAGAACGCGATCTGACGGATGATTGAAAAATGGAACGCACGTGGGGAAAAGAGAGTGCACGCACACATACACTTCCGACCACGTGTTGCCGGTTGGAAAAGAAAACACAGAAACAAACTTGACTGGGAAATGCAGCGAAAATACATAATGTTAGCGAAATAATTAGAAAATGATAGCGATATATGCAGATCCGTTACACTTTCAGATACTAACACAGACACACTGGAGATGCTGGCACACCTGGGGCGACCAGAAAATCGTCAATGAAGCGACAGCCGGCAATCAGCTGTGTCAAGCTGCTGCGCACTATCAGCAACATCCTGAGCACCACACACACAAACACTGCTACCTATCACTGACAACACCCGGAGACACATACACCTAACACCCGGGTACACACTTGTATCACACGACCGAAGGGGAGCGCTCCAGAAGGCCCTTCGGAGACCGGTAACAGAGCACAAGGTTGACACGTGGGAGCAAAGGCGACCATCTTGAAGAGCGATACAGACTAAACGAGAGCGAGCGAGACAAACTGGATGAGAGCGAGCGAGACAGACCATATGAAGCGAGCGAATAAGAATAAATACCAAACAAATTCAAATGTAAATACGATGATGAGGGCGCTACGAAGATAAGATCGACTTATAATTATTTTATCATTACAAATAATTTAGCGATGCGACTTAGACATGGAACATATAAAAAAAAATAAAATTAGAAAAAATACTTGTATGCGGCCTCTATAATCGTAAAGTAAAATGATAATTGATTGATGAACTTTGAAATTCTGACGAAACTCGCTGGTGATGTCACGACCAATAAGCGAATTAGAATAAAATTTGGTTTCCGTCCGCATCGAAAAATAAATAGGAATAGGGGTAGATCTTTCTTATCAATTAATGCTGGCCGATGTAGTGGGGGGGGGGGGTGAGAGAATGTAAATAGCGACGAAAGTAGGATATAAAATGAGGGCACTGTTACTTTTCTAATTTACATATTGACCAATGACGAAATATTCAGAGGGCGCTACCGATATCCGAATTACGAAGGGCGGTCAATAAGTCTTTACAGAAAGAATAAAAAAAAAGTTTTGCATATGTAATTTTTTTTTATTTTTCAACATAATCTCCTTGAAGGTCGATACATTTTATTAAACGGCCTTTCAGTTTTTTTAAGCCACCAGAAAAATATGATTTCTGAAAACCCTCAAAATAGGCATTTGTTTCGGCGATGAATTCGTCATCCGACGTGAATCGTTGTCTGGCAAGCCATTTGTTGAGGTTAGGAAATAAGAAAAAATCACTGGAAGCCAAATCAGGCGCATATGGTGGATGGTCAATTAATTCTTGCCAATTAATTTTTGCCATCGAAACTGTACACGTGTGAACTTGAGAATTGTCTTGAAGAAAGGGGCATTTTTTTTTCAAGTGAGGACGTTTTTCTCTGATTTTTTCTTTCAGCTGACCTAATAATGACGCATAATATTGTCCAGTGATCGTCTGGCCCTTTTCCAAGTAGTCGATCTAGATGATTCCATACGGATCCCAGAAAACCGTGACCATAATCTTGCCAGCTGACTTTACTGTCTTTGCCTTCTTTGGGGCTGGTTCTTCTGCGGTAATCCATTGGTTGGACTGATTTTTGGTTTTAGGAGTGTAGTGGTGTACCCATGTTTCGTCTACAGTTACGAGTCGACGCCAAAAGTCTTCCGGATTACGACGTATGTGTGCCAAAAGAGCCTCAGAGGTGACCACGCAGGTTCGTTTGTTTTCAACAGTGAGCAAACGCGGCACCCATCTTGCTGATATTTTTTTCATCCCCAATTTTTCATGCAAAATTGAAATGATTGTACTTTTTGATACCCCTGTGGCTTCAACTAATTCTCGCAATTTTAATCTTCTATCACTCAACGCCATATCGTGGATTTTGTTGACCATTTCGGGCGTACTCACTTCTACGGGGCGTCCTGAACGAGGTTCATCTTTTGTTGTTGTACGGCCGCGTTTAAACTCATTTACCCAGTTATAAACAGTCTTAAACACAGGGGCAGACTTGCCATGAACGGCGTTCAACTCAATTGTGATTTCTTTTGGTGTAAGGCTTTTGAAATGAAAATGTTTTATCACCGCTCGAAACTCTGTTTTTTCCATTTTTCAAATAAACCAATAACTTTTTGTTCAACCAACACTCACAAAAAATGACTTAATGAATCGAGTTGAAACTTTGTACGATATCTAGTTAGTAGTATTGCTTACCAAAAACATCATAATTTAAGCGTGACGAGCGCCATCTCTTGGATTTCGTAAAGACTTATTGACACCCCCCCCCTCGTAGCATATCAGCCAATAATAGGATTTCTTCTCGAAAAGAGGAAAAATGATCTTTGACCGCGAAAAGCTGTTTCTCGTCCATTTTTCCGCTGAT